TACACCCAGAGCACCCCCCACAAAATGCATTCAAAATAACTGAATGTCTTCTCCAAGTTTGCAAAACACATAGGGACTGGTTGGGCATACTCCAATGAATCCTCTTGTACTGGCTGGCTCCTCCTTTTATGGCATAGACTTTTATGGCATAGACGTGGTAGGCCTATTGGTACCCATCAGCTGCCTCGGAAGTCCTACTTGTCAACCAAGCCCGGTAGGACTCCTTTTTTTTGGCTTGACAGCATCCCTTACTTCTGGTCTCCACCACTGGGTTCATGGACTGCAGCAATGACAGACACCACAGCCCTTGCATCCACAGCTCCTCATGACCACGTCAACAATGAAGTCAGAGATTATGGACCACTGTGTCTCAATGTCACTAGTTTCCCTTTGGATCTGGTCAAATTTCTTCCAGAGGTGAGAGTTGAGAATCCCTCTGACATGTGGTTTAGCCATAGAACCAAGAGATCCCTCACAATATGTTTGGGCCTTATGCTTGAACATAGTATTTGTTATAGACAAACTGTGACTAGCACTGAAGTTCAACAACCGAATGCCACTCGGATTCAGATCAGGAAGGCCGTTCCTCCCAATCATACCTCTGCAGGTATCACTGTCATTACTCACATGCATATTGAAGTCCCCCAGTAGAACAATTGAGTCCAGTCGGAGCACCTTCCAGCTCCCCTCCCAAAGACTCAAAGAGGGCTGGGTAATCTGCGTTGGTGTTTGGCCCATAGGCATAGGGAGATGACCCTCTAGTTCTACAGGGAAAACTAGTTGGGGCGCTATAAGCTAGCCCAGACCAACCCGTCACTTCTTGTAGAGGGTAACTCCATAGAAGAAGAAAATCCAGCCCTTCCCAAGAAGTTAAATTCAAGAACCCAAACTGTGCATGGAGGTGAGCTAGACTATGTCTAGTGGGTATTGCTCAACTTCCTGCACAAGCTTAAGCTCTATTCCATGTCCCAAGAGCACAAGCTCAAGCTCTATTCCATGTCCCAAGAGCACAAGCTCAAGCTCTATTCCATGTCCCAAGAGCCAGTTTCTGTGCCAGACAATCAGTTCATTGTGGTCCTGACTTTTGACCAGCACCTGTTTTACAGTGGACTGCCCCTATATGTGATGGGCCAGTAGGAGGTTGTCCCACGTTGCTCCTTTGGGCTGCACCCAGCCCGGTTCAGTGGGATAATCCCTGGTCACCAGGCATTTGAAAACAAGCCCCAACACCAGGCCTGGCCCCCCGGCAATGCCATACTGGGTAACATCACAGTCCTTGATTTTTTGATATTCGCACTCAGTCTGACCTGTCACCTTAGACCTTTTTGCATTGGCAGACCTGACCAGGGGCATTAGTCCTCGGCAACATAGCACTAAAGTCTGTTTTTACTGTATTTCTGCATTGAGAGATCGGTGTGACCCATGGCACCTGCCTTGCATTTTTACTTCTGTGTGTGGTTTGTGTTGCCCTGCAATAACACTTCTGAAATGTTGGCTGGCAGGGAGGTTTTTTTTTTTTTTTTGCTCCTCTGTGTCGAGTTTCTTCACTGGAGTTTTTCTGAAAGCTACCTTAATGTACAAGTAGCTAAAACTCGCTCATTTAGAGGCGGGAACTGGTGGACGTACAATAACTTTAGTCTTAAGGTAAACACAAAACAACAGTTTCCACCTGAAACTCCTTCATGGGACTTGACACATGTAAACACTTGCTCCAACAGGTTCGCGTGGCTCTCAGTCCTGCCCACACTCATCAGCGATATCAAGCCACCCAATCACAGAGCTTGCGCTAAACATCGTTGTGACGTGTAGTTACATTTTTTGAGAGGTTCAAAATTCGAAAAGAAAAGATTCTGAATCAAAAAGATTTAATCCCTTAAAAACAAACACACAAAATAATTTAACTCTTTTTAACAAGACATGTCAAAACAGGAAAATGTAGTTGGGTCATTCTACAAAAATCTGTAATTTTTGTTTTGGCAAAATATCTATTTATTTTAAAATATATATTTAAATATAAACTTTGACCACATTAATCAATTACCCTTTGGCTATATAAAAACACATAAATGACAGCTTGATGATTTATTTTATTTTGTAAATGTATTTAAAGATCACATCTTTTTTTTGGCAATGACATATTTCTGATAACTGAAAAATAACAGTAAAGTTACAGGGGGCATTTTTTTCATAAATATTCAGGAAATATGAGGTCAAAAATATGTCAACAGAGAGATTTGTAATCCAAAATAATGGATTTCTGTTCAGGGCACTACTTTCATTCTATATTTCAAAGTATTTATTTGGTATTTTCTTTTTTATATCATTTACATTATATGTGGGCGTCACGGTGGCACAGTGGGTAGCACGGTTCGCGTGGGTTTCTTCCGGGTGCTCTGGTTTCCCCCACTGTCCAAAGGCATGAGGTACAGGTGAATTGAATAAGCTAAATTGGCCGTAGTGTATGTGTGGGAATGCAAGAGTGTATGGGTGTTTCCCAGGTTGCAGCTGGAAGGGCATCCGCTGCGTAAAACATGTGCTGAATAAGTTGGTGGTTCATTCCACTGTGGCAAGCCCTGATTAATAAAAAGCCAAAAAGAAAACGAATGAATGAACATTATGTTTGATAGTTTTTTTTTAGTAATTTCATATTAATTAATTAATTTATTATATTAATTTTTGTATTCTGAATAGTAGAAAAATCTGTTTTTGAGCAAAAAAGCTCCTTCCCTCTGTACATGGCTGTGTGGACCAGCAGATTTGGAATTTTAATTATTTATTAATTTATTATTTTATTCTAAGTAATTAAGACAATTATTGCCACATTGATGACCCAAAAGGGTGTAGATGTTCAAATAAAATATGGTTTCATTTTTAAACATAAAGAAATAGTAAACATGAATATTTAATTTAAGTTATTTTGCTGTTAGGTGTAGAAACAGAAAAATCTCAGTTTCTGTAGTATCACCCAGTCACTTTAAGAGGTGTTCTGCTCTGAGCACAGCTTCATTTCTGACCCTGTGTGAATCAGGCTGAGAGAAGCTCTGATATTAGCTTATGCAATCTTCATATCCCAGAAGAGTCGATGGGAACTCACTCAGGTGTCTGTAATTCACTCTGTCTGCCGTGTCTCTCCAAACACACTCAGAGCAAAGCAGCGTGACTTTTACCATGGATTTAACTGGGTTGAGTTACGAAGGACGCTTTTTGTTGGTTTTATGCATGATTTCTTACCTTTTCACACCCACCGATGCTGAAGGGAGCTGTAAACTCAAAGCCAAATTCAACCTGAGGGGTTACAAAGAAGTGGAGAAAACCACGGTGGTGATTGGCGGTATGTTTCCCGTTCATCGGAGCCTGGTTTCAACAGACAGCAACACCACAGACCCTCCAGAGTCTGTGGATTGCCAGGGGTATGATAAAATATCTTTTACATTTTACAAGCTTAACAGCCTCCGGCACCTTTATATTTTTAGTCGGTGTGAAACTGTTAGAGTAGACAAACTAAACATGCATACATTTAAATTACTCGTCGTGTTTAAAAAAGAAAAAGACACTTAATTGCAAACACCTGATTAAATTAGGCTTAATTATACTGCTTCGTCTTTCATCGGGCTAAATTAATTAAGTTGTTTAAGGAGAAGCCTAATTAGTTCTCCTGAGAGATTTTGTTGTTTATGTTGTTATTTATTTTTCTGTCAATCAACCTGTCTTAGACAGCGACATCTAGTGGTACAAAGTTGTTATACTGCTGTTGCCTTGCTTTGCCTTTTACTGCACTAATTACAGTGGTTTACCTGTTTAATAGACAGGTAGGCTTTCTAGAAGAATTAATGGAGAAAAAAATCATATTCATAATGTATCAAGATATTTATAAGCATATTCAATTGTAACATTTTTATTTACATTCATACATTTTTAGAGGCTTTTATCCATTTAGTTTTTTTTTTTTCAGATGTCGTTTTGAACAAAACAAGCTAGAACTGGGAGTCTTTATTTATTCATTCAAACAATTATAAATAATTAATTAAATTTTTTTTTATTCAATCCTTTGTTTATTTATTTATTTAATCACTTATGTTTATTTATTAATTCAATCGGTTATTTATTTATTTATTTAATTATTCATTTGTTTATTTACTCAATCACTTATATGTTTATTTATTTATTCAATCATTTATTTATTTATTTGTTCATTCATTCATTCGTTTTTTATTCTTATTCAATCACTTATGTTTATTTATTTATTCATTTGTTTATTTACTCAATCACTTATATGTTTATTTATTTATTCAATCATTTATTTATTTATTTATTTATTTGTTCATTCATTCATTCATTTTTATTTTTATTCAATTACTTATGTTTATTTATTTATTTATTTATTCGTTTGTTTATTTATTCACTTTTATTTATTTATTTATTTATTTATTTATTTATTTATTTATTTATTTATTTATTTATTTATTTATTTATTTATTCATTCAGTAATTAATTAATTTTTTTCAATCACTTATATGGTTATTTATTTAATTATTCAATCATTTTTGTTTACTTATTCATTCATTTGTTCATTTATTTATTTGATCACTTATTTATTTGTTTATTTATTTATTTATTTATTTATTCAATCATTTATTTGTTCATTCATTCATTTTTATTCAATCACTTAAATGTAATTTATTTATTTATTCAATCATTTATTTTATTTATTCATTTATTCAATCATTCATTTATTTATTTGTTTATTTGTTCATTCATTCATTTTATTTTTTATTTAATCACTTATATGTTTATTTATTTATTCCATCATTTAATGTGTATTCATTCATTTATTTATTCAATCACTTATGTTTATTTATTTTTTTAATTATTCAATAATTTATTTAATTTGTTCATTTATTCATTTATACGTTTGTTTATTTACTCAGTCTCTTATATTTATTTATTCATTCAATCAATTATTTATTTATTTGTTCATTTTTCATTTTTTATTCAATCACTTATATGTTTATTTGTTTATTCAATCATTTGTTTATTTATTTATTCAACCATTTATTTATTTATAATTCTTAGGTATGTTGTGAAGTGTTCATGAAATAGTAGAGTTTAACTCTCTCATGAATATTGTTTGTGATCTGGGATTCTAAATGAAACAAGCAATAAAAAGGGGTATAAAAACAAAACAAAAGTTCTAGAAAGTAATTTGTAGAGGACAAAAGATTAACTTAAACAAACTGTAATAAACACAGGAATACATCATAGTTATAGAATAATGTCTAGTAAACAACAACAAGAACAAGTACAGTGTTAAATTGTAACATGTGAATTCCCCCTCAGCTTTAACTTCCGCGCATTCCGCTGGGCTCAGACCATGTTGTTTGCTCTGAAAGAGATTAACAGCAGAACAGATCTGTTACCCAAAACTGAGCTGGGTTATGTCATCTATGACTCCTGCTTTACCATTTCCAAAGCTGTGGAGGGAACACTCACCTTCCTGACAGGCCAGGACGAGGCTGTGCCCAACTACCGCTGTGGGAATGGACCTCCTCTATCTGCTTTGGTGGGGGCTGGAGGATCAGATCTGTCTATCGCCACAGCCAGGATTCTTGGCCTCTACTATTTCCCACAAGTAACTTTCAAATATCACTGTTTTGGGGCAATGCATAACACTTATATCAAGGTTCAGAAGTTTTAATTGCAGGAAAGAACACAATAAAAACTTGAATACATTTCTAAATAATTCTTAAAAGTCTATGTATATATATATATATATATATATATATATATATATATATATTAAAAAAAACATAACCTAAAATGCTACTAAAGCGAAAACCTCAATAATTGTTTTTGTGTAATCTAAAAAAAAACATAACCTAAAATGCTACTAAAGCGAAAACCTCAATAATTGTTTTTGTGTAATCTAATCTTATTTATTATATTAATTTATATTATGATACTGTGTAACACTTTTTAAATTATATTTAAAATTATATTTTTTAATTAAAATATAATCAGAAATTTGTGGTCAGTACTGTATAAAGATTTTTTTACAAGTGAAAGTACATTTAGAAAGTCAAGTCACCTTTATATCTATACTACTTTATAAAAGATTGTTTTACAAGGATAAACAGAAATAAATTTCAGACACACAGGAGATTAAAATTAGAGAACAATTTATAAGCACTTTTATAAGCACTTATTTTTCACAAACAATGTAATCATCATTATTATATGCTGGTGCCATATCTAGTGTCTTGCAGACATCACTAGTCTCAGGCTGCTTCTGAAATCGCCTACTACTCAGTAGGTTCCGCATTTGAATACTACTCGACCATCAGAAAAGTGTGTTCTATACAGTTAGAACGTGAGTAATATTAATGGAACTTGGACGTACTACATCTGTCATTTTGTCATGGTCACGTGACCCACCCACGTCAGTTGCCTCGCTTCACTGCCATTCATGAATTCTCTCACCGGGCATTGAATGCGCACTTCAGACATACTACTCAGCTTGCATACTAATTTTAGTGTACTATATAGTAGTACACTAAAGCCTCAGACATTACTAGTCTCTCACAGTCATCACTAGTCTTAGGCTGCACCCAAAATTGCATATATCCATAATGTACAGTACGCTAAAATCAGTATGTGAGCCCAGTACCATGTCCGAATTCATAGAATTTGAAAAACAGTAGGCGAAAAGTACCCATAAAACCTACTTCCGGCGAAGTTCTGAAGTGCGCATCCAATGGACTCTGCGCTATCACATTATGCACTGCGAGGAAATTCATGAATAGGGAGATCAAGTAATAATAACAAAATGGTGGATGCAGCACATCCGAGTTTAGACTACTCACATTCATACTGTATAGAACATACTTTTGAAAAGGCAGTACATACTGAGTAGTCACCGATTTTGGATGCAGCTTTAGACATCACTAGTCTCTCGCAGACATCACTATTCTCTTGCAGACATCAGACATCTTTAGTCTCAAACATCACTAGTCTCTCGCAGTCTCAGACATCACTACTCTCTTGCAGACATCACTAGTCTCTTGCTGACATCACTAGATATCACTAGTGAAAGAATAAAGATGAATTAGTCTCACAGATATCACTAGTCTCTCTCAGACATCACTGGTCTCAGACATCACTAGTCTCTAGGTAGACTCTCACAGGACTCTCTCAAAGGTTTGGTCATTGCAGAGAATCATTCAGTCCAAATTCCCTTCAAAGTTGAGATGGAGAATGTCAAGATCCAGATCCTCACCCAGTTTAGCTCTGAACTAGTGAAATCTTCTGCCAGTTAAATAGGGCTAATCAGATAATTAAGGAATTTATAACCAGGTACCAAATAGTGCCAAAAGCTGGATCTGAAAGTGATCTCTAATTTTAATCAGTGCATGGTTTTAAAATATGTAATTTAAGTTATTGTAAAGTGTTTTCCAGTATATATGAAACTTGTGAAATATGTCTAAAAACTAGTGCTGGGAAGTTCGGATCATTTTACTGACTCGGACCTTTGAGTCTTGTTCAGCAAGGTGAACAAAACTTTTTCGAGTCATTTCGTTCATTTCATTAAATTTGCCTAAAATATTATTAAAATGATCCGTTTTCTTTAAACTTACCTACAGTGACACCAAACATTGATTACACTACAAACAAGTCATAAGTAGAATGCTATAAGAAAGAGAAAATAATCATTGATTGTTTACATGGTGTGCTGCACGGTGACACAGTGGGTTGCACGTTGGCCTCAAAGCAAGAAGGTCGCTGGTTCGAACCTTGGCTGGGTCAGCTGGTGTTCTCCTTGTGTTTGTGTTGGTTTCCTCCAGGTGCTCCAGTTTCTCCCACAGTCCAAAGACATGCGCTATAGGTGAATTGGTTAAGCTAAATTGTAGTGTATGAGTGTGCATGAATGTTTCCCAGTGATGGGTTGCAGCTGGAGGGGAATCCACTGCGTATAACATATGCTGAATAAATTGGCAGTTCATTCCGCTGTGGCGACCCCAGCTTATTAAACGGACTAAGCCGAAAGGAAAATGAATGAACGTTTACCTGGTCTTTTGTCTATAATTACATCAGCTCATCTCTTCTGACAGGTCTTCAAATTTGAGCGGTTCATTCACGTCACCTAGACATTCCCATATTAGCTTATCCATTATTAGTTCACCTTTTGAATCTTCTGGCTTTTTGAGTCGTTTGTTTATCCCGTGACAGCATGTAAAGTGAGATGATTCAAACCCGAGGACTCGAGAAATTAATGGATCAAATCTTATTCCAGTTCTAAATGCATATGATTGGCTTCTATCTTTCATGTGATGAACGAATGACTCAAGGACTCGAGAGATGAACAGATTAAATCTTTTTCTGCCTCTGACTGCTTAAGATTGGCTTCTGCTCAAACCCAAAAGAAGACTCGAAAAAGAAACTAATCTTCTACCTCACCTGCACAAATGTGTGCATGCGCAAATGAACGATTTACTCCCTGACAGGACTCATTGTTCTCCAGTCATACAAAAAGATTCATTCAAAATTAAAAACTTAGGTAATTGTAATAATTTAGGTCTCCACTGTGTGAGTATACACATGACATGTACATTGACATTCAAGATATATTATTGCTTTTTACTGCAACACAGTCATTTTTCAGGCATTACATTTAAACTAAATTTCACAACCAGATGAACTTAACTAATAAAAAACAAAGCAGAGTACATTTCTTTAAGTTGAAAAACTATATTTGTTTTTCACTGACTATGTTTACATCGACACCAGTTATCGAATTATTTGCCCTAATCTGATTAAGACAGTAATATGATTAAGGTGTCTATCTGAGCTACTTTTTGAATGTTGCTTTCATGTTCCCGTTTTACATGTTACAGCACATAGATCGATTAATGTTGATGCGTCACCAGTAGGGCTGTAACGATACACGATATAAAATCGAAATCGCGACACTCAGATCTACGATCCTGTGTCGGGGTGTGATAAGGGAGAATCGCGACACACCCCGTGACTACCTTTCCAATAACGTCACGCGTGCCTGCAAAAGTTGAGCTAATTAACACTTTTTTTCGTTAGACATTACAAGCACTGCTCCGTTTAAGCCCTCGCAATATTTAGCCGGGAGAGCTCGCACAGAGCTCTTAGTAAGGGACCGTCTGAATGTGTCAGGGATATCAAAAACAAAACCAACTTAGCCCCGCTTGACAACAGACAACGCCAGAAACATTGCCAATGCTGTCAAAGCGGCCGGATTTTCAGCGCATATACGTTGATTTGCTCACACTGTTAATGTGGCTGCGCAGAGAGGGATGGGCGTTCACCAGATGTCAGGTAACAGCGCAAACTTTTCTGTAACCGTGCTGTGCGCTTTCTGTTTGAACCTTTGAGAGTGTTGACTGACAGGTGCGTGAGGTCAGAAAACACGACGAAGCTTTAAGTTAAGATGAACAGTTTCTATAGTTATACTTTATTTAGAGATAAAGGTAGGCTATATGGCTCTGCATACAATCACTCTATCTTGTTGGAGTTTATAGCCGTTTCGCTTTACTTCAGGACGCATTAACACCGCTCTGATGGTCTAATCGTTGTTTTAAGTTATCCAGAGCTGTATGAATATACCTATCTTGAATATCACAATAGTATTAAATATTGCTATTGTAACAACACAGACAGCAACACTTTTGCACAATTGATACCCAGCTGATTCAGTCGTTTCATAAGAGGACAGCGCCTCTTCTTTTTTCCTTGTTAACGTAAAGGCAGTGAGGTGCGCCTCGTTTTCGGCCACTTGTTTAACTGCAAGGCATACTTAATTTGCGGGATGATAATGTATAACCCGTGCCTACTGACACATTTGCCAAAGAAGCAAAATGGAAGAAGAATATTGCTGTTTGATACAGACCTGTTGATGCTGCAGCGCTTATGTTGACCTGGATCTGCGTAATAAACGCAACAAATAGGCTTTACTTTTTATTTTACAGCTTAAAGCATGTACGCAGATTAATGCAATATCATATTTAAACAACAAAACTGTTTACAAAAAGTCTACATATGCGCGCGTTGTTGCTGTCTTTTCATCACGCAGCGCGCGCACTTGAACCGCGAGGGAGAGAGAGGAAACCATAGGCTATATCAGGACATATTCTTTAAAATAATGATTTTTATTAAAAATGTAAAAGGTTTTGTGATTATAATAATAACAGCGGGGCATTAAATAAATGCATATTTTCCGTGGAGCGAGCAATTTGAGGAAGTCAGCTATTTTTATTTGACGGAAGAAAAAAACATATGATTGGAAAAAAAAGCCCATGCCGGTTATTAAAAAGAATCAGTCAGTATTTTCGTTTTGTAATATAAATTAATTATTTAAGTGAAAATAATTTAGGGCAGTCCTATTTATTTTATTCATTTTATTTAGATTATTCTGCTCTTCTGTGCTAAACACTGCAGGTGCGTGAAGATGCTCTGTTGTTCTGTTCCGCTATTAATATATAAAAATAAATCAGTATTTTAAAATGCAATATTTAATGTGTCAGA